TTTTTATCGAATTTGATCAGGTGGTTGCTGAGGTATCTTCGTTCAAAGTTTTTAAAAACATCGTCTAAGCTGCGCAAATTTTTCATAACACTTTGAGTGAAGATATCTCAGAAACCTAATAAAATTTGATGAAATTTTTTTATTGAATTCTATAGATAGTTATAATAATTCAAATAAAAAAATTTTTATCGAATTTGATCAGGTGGTTGCTGAGGTATCTTCGTTCAAAGGTTTTAAAAATATCGTCTAAGCTGCGCCAAAATTTTCCTAAAACTTTGAGCAAAGATATCTCAGAGACCACCTAATAAAATTCGATAAAAATTGGTTTATTTGAATTATTATAACTATCTATAAAATTCAATAAAAAAATTTCATCGAATTTTATTAAGTGGTTTCTAAGATATCTTCTCTCAAAGTTTTAGGAAAATTTTGGCGCAGCTTAGACGATATTTTAAAAACCTTTGAACGAAGATACCTCAGCAACTACCTGATCGAATTCGATAAAATTTTTTATTGAATTTTATAGATAGTTATAATAATTCAAATAAACCAATTTTTATCGAATTTGATCAGGTGGTCTCTGAGATATCTTCACTCAAAGTTTTAGAAAAAATTTGCGCAGCTTAAACGATGTTTTTAAAAACTTTGAACGAAGATACCTCAGCAACCTAATCAAATTCGATAAAATTTTTTTCATTTAAATTCTATGTATCCATAGAATTCAAATAAAAAAATTTTCATCGAATTTTTCAAGTAGTTGCTGAAATATCTTTGCTTAAAGTTTTAAGAAAAGTTTGGCGCAGCTTCTATTTGATAAACAATGCAGCATTGTGATTTTTTAAAAAAGAACTTCGAGCAATGATATCTCAGTAACCACCTGATTAAATTCAATAAATTTTCTTTTATTTGAATTCTATAGATTCATAAAATGCAAATAAAAAAAAATCATCAAATTTGATTAGATGGTCGCTGAGAAATCACAACAATCATGTACAATCGATTGCAATCGAGCAATCGGGCATGCAGTGACCTACAGATTTTATCAAAAATAAATCATTTTGCAAATAGCGATAATTGTTCAAATAAATTATCAGAGAAAGTATAAAGTATAATTTGATTCGCTTTAATGATTGTATTTCAAGATATTGATTAATTATAATTATTCAGTCTTTCAATAAATTACTATGGTGAGTATGAAATTTAATTTGATTCGCTTTAACAATTGTGCTTCAAAATAACATGTAATTAATATAATTATTTAAATGTTCAAATAAATTACCAGAGTGAGTATGAAGTTTAATTCAATTCGCTCTAATGATTGTGTTACAAAAGATTGATTAACCGTAATTATTCAAACGTTGAATAAATTACCAAAGTGAGTATGAAGTTAATTTTATTCACCTTAATAATTGTGTTTTAAAAGAACGTGTAATTAACTATAATGATAATTTTAATGCAATAAACTCAACTGCGACTATATACTGTGATTACCGAATAGCAAGTTCTACAATAGAAAGTTTTACTTCAATTATGGTAAAAATTGACAATCTAATACTAAACTAACTATAACTATAACTACATTAATAAATAATTTCAATGAAACTTATTAAATTTAATTATATATCGCGCATATTGTAATAAATAATAAATTTTGTAAAGAATCTTTAACAATAATTTAATTAAACAAATAAGATAGATAGCATGAAGCACCACCTTTCGAACTAGTAATAATTATACTTTTGCAATAGTAATCTGAAGGGTATTAGTTAGATAAGTATTTGGAAACATTTTTAACACTTACGGCATTTATATAGCATGTGGCACTTCTACTTATATATTTTACTCCTGATTAATATCTGATTTTATCCTGATAGTGTGCCGATTTGCGCCATAAATTGGCATAAATCAGGCTGCAATTTTAAAAATTGGATATCAATCAGGCAGCTATCAGTTTTAAATAGATATGCCCGATTTGTACATGATTTGCCATATTCCGACTAGTGTATATAATAAAATTATTGAAATAAGCACAAATGAATATATGAAAAATGAATTAAATGGAATTGATTTCAAGTGCAATATTTCTCTTGAAGATTTTGAGGATGATCCAAAAGAGATATCAAATAAAATAAACAATACAATAGGCAAAAATGATGGATACTATTACATATAAGTATATTTATTATAAATATAATTTTTATTTTTATATTATCTTAATAATAGTGTTTAATTTAAAGTTATCTTAATAAAGCTATACAGATACATATAATTCAAAAAAGCCTTGCAATTATCTACTTTTCATTATAGATATTCTCAGTGTCAAAATTTTCTAAAAAACCTAGAAAACTTAAAAATGTTGAAAATCAAAGAGATTGATCATCAATACAACGATTTGATTGTAAGGGCATTATTAAAATTTTAATTAATATGGAGGCTAGTTATACATCAGTTCATCTTAAACATTCTATATTTCACAAACATCCTGATAAATATGAAGTTAATGAAGAAATTAAACTTGAAATTCAAAAAAATTTGCATTTAAGTTCAAGTGAAATTTATAAACAATTAGAACAAGAGAATTTAGATTTAACATAGAAACAAGTGTATGCGTTGTGGACTATTTTTATTAGAAAAGAATATACTCGAGATGATAATCAATTAATTTTAGCAAATATCCTTTTAAAAGAATATGGATATAATGTAATTTTAATTAATAACAATATAGAAATTAAATTTTTAGAATTTATTACACTATTTTTCAAAATTATGAAAAAAATCAAGAGATTATTGTAGATGCAACCTACAAAACTAATGCATTAGATTATGAACTTTATTCTGTGATTAGTCAATTTGATAGTTCTGGCTTTGCAATGGCTTACTTATTTGTTGAAAGAATAAATAAAAAGAATAATGCATATATAGAAATTCTAGCTTCTTTTTTTAAAGCATTAAAAGATTCAGGATTGGATCAAGTTTATTTTTTTCTAACTGATAAGGATTTCTCACAAATATCTGCAGCTCAACAAATTTGGCCAAATATTAAAGTTCAAATTTGTTATTGGCACTTAAAAAAAGTAATTCAGAAATGATTAACTGATAATATATATCCAAAAACTATATCATATAGTTCTTACTTAGCTCATAACACATTTGATTTCATTAGTCTTGAGTTTTATCCAATACAATCAGAAGAGGATTGAAAAAAATTTACTTTTTATTCAAAGAATTTGCGTATAATAGTTTTTAGTTTGGTTGATCAGTATATGAATTTGCATCTATTAATTTCAGATATTATAGGAAAGTTTTTAACTGAATATGAAATTTGGACAAATTCAGTAAAGAAAATATATAATTTTTCACCAGTAATAATTTAAAACATCTCTGGGTATATATGTAGAACAATTGGTATCGTATTAAAATGTAAAAATTATGGACAAGATCAACAATTGCAAATAAAATTTGTATCTTTTATATAACAATGCTTGTGAAGTTGTATTGGAAAGTAGTAAAATGAAATTTTTTGCTAAAGTTTTTTAAACCTCAACTTGATTTGTTAGTTTATATTATTATTATATATTTAATTTCACATTATAAACAACAATATAGCAAGTATAGTAATAGTCGTGAAATGGCTTCTTAGTGAAAAAACTTTAAAAAAAGAATAGATTTTATTGCAAAAAAAACTATTAACAACCAATATATAATGGATGTTAATAAGTGGGTTTGTTCTTGTTCAAGTTTTTTAACTAATTATTTTTTTATATAAGCATTTAGTGCAAAGTGCATTATTTGTAGTTAATTCAGAATTTTTTAAACATATTCAATAGCAAGAAATCTGCCCATTTTTATTTATACCATCTCAACAACTTATACTTAATCAACAACATTCTTTAATATCTAATGAACAATATCAATCTAATTTTGCATTATCATATAACTTATTTGAAGATAATAATTTTATTTTTTATAAAAATTTTTAACTACTAATTATTGTATTATTTATTTTAGAAAACATTATGAATGAAATTACCAGTTCAGTTAACAATATAAGAAAAACCTTGTCAGCTTTTTGAAGAGTATGAATCTATTTTACAAGATGCTCTTGCTATTGTGCAAGAACAACATGCAGCAAGTAATACTCAGTGGACACAGTCAGTTTATAAAAGCTTTGATGGAATTCACACAATAGTAAATGATATTAAAAGTTATAGAAGAAGGAATACTAATTCATGAACTTGAAAAGATCACAATTGAAATACAATATTTTTAGAAAAATAAAGTATCTGGTATGTATATTAGTTAAATGTAATTCTTGTCTTAAAGCACTTATTTATGTTTTTTTTTATATGAAATTCCTGAAGCTACTTTGAAAAATACGTCTTGGTAGTTGCTATTAAAGAACTTTAATCTCTTTTAAATAATGATTGCATCATTTGATATACTATTTATGTTTTATTTGTATAAATAAAGTTAATTTTAAGCTATTTAAATGCAATAAATATAATCAGTGAAATCCAATTTACATTTTATTAAAGCTAAATTTACAATATAACAATACTATCTTAAAAGTACAAACCAATTAAATCATTGTAAATTTCACGTAACTGCAGAAAAATTTAGGTGTTGTTGGGGTAGTTAAGATATATCAGCACCCACCTGACCAAATTTGATCAACTATTTTTATTTTAATTATAGTAAGCCGTAGAATTCAAAAAAAAAAGAATTGATCGAATTTGGTTATACAGGTGCCGAGATATCTTCGATCAAAGGTTTTGTAAAATTCAAAACGTTGTGAGACCAGAAACGTGACCTAACAGTAGGCATGTGACTATGTGACATGGTAAATCTTAATTTGGGTTTCCTGTTCGTAAAAGTATCATTTTTGATAAATCTGCGGTTGCTTTTTTGATAGGTCTAAAATGTACCCAAAATTGATTTATGTTCTTGATGCGTTTATAAAATAAACTAATAGAAGCTATACCAATTTTTAAAATTTGAGTGAAGCTATCTCCACAACTCTTGAACCAAATTTGATAATTTTTTTTATTTGAATTCTATGTATTCATAGAATTTTAAATAAAAAAAATTTATCGAGTTTGGTCTGGTGGTAGTAGAGATATCTTTGCTCAGAGTTGAAAAAAAGTCAAAACATCTATTTAATTAATACTGCACTAATTTTTTTAAAAATATTTAAGTGAAGATATCTCCACAACCACTGAGCCAAATTTAATATTTAATATTTTTTTTTTGAATTATATGAATTCACTGATTTTAAATAAAAAAAATTCTTTAACTTTTGTCTGGTGGTTGTGGAGATAT